TACCACTTCTTTCAGGCTATGGAATACTTCCAGCAAGGAAAATATTCAATTCTCTACAAGAGAATATCCCTGTTCCTCAGTGCCCCTCCAAATTCTCCCGTTGGATATGTCCATGAGGGCTTCCTCAGTACCCCAGCCCAGGACCAAGATGTCTCCCCTGCATGTCCCTGTACCACTCTCGTGTGGGTGGGGGGACACTTGGGTCAGTCCACCTGTCCAAGCTGCCAGCATGTAATCCTGCCAAACATAGGTGGACAGAAGCTCGCAAATTGCAGTGGCCCCCCTCTTAGTGGTGGGCTCTGCTGGGAATGCGTACCCACCATGGAGAAGTAACTGTTCATGTGCTTCTTTGTTCAGAGTATTCTCGAGGTTTCAGTGGGGGGAGAGGGGCTACGACTATCAGCTGGCCTGAGCTAAAGTGACTTTCTCTGATACCATGATTTGAGGAGGTGCTGAAAAGGAAGTGTGTAGGCATAAGAAAGCCAGCACTCTGGTGTTTAGTGTCACTTTCCCGTGCATTGTTCCTTTTTAACACCCAAACTCCTAGAGTTGGTTTGTTCATCCCACTACTCTTATTTACCTGCTGTGCCTGGGCTGGTAGAGGGTAAAGTTTTGTGCCAATAAGTTTTGTGCCATGCTTTCTACTGAAGGTACCTAGGTGAGGGAGGGGAGGTCCCCTTACTCTTTCACTGGGCTCCCAACCTTTCTGGGTTTGGTCCACACTGCTGTCTTCTCCTCTCTATCTTTTTTCTCAGCTTCACTGTTTTTCTCTATTGGGTCCCTGGACATCTCTGTTGTCTCTCCCCATAATCCACATCTGGGCTGCAATCGCTCTCTGCTCTCCTCAGTCCAATATGCTACCTTCCAGCCAGGACAATCCAACAAGCCATGTCTGTAGTTAGACATTTTGGCTTCTTCCCTTGTATGCTCTTACAATAGGGTTGTGATAGGAGTGACTTAATTTTGTTGATGTGATAACACTTACATATTAAATCAATATGTTTATGAAATATTTTCATCTGACAACTATAAAGGAATTTTACATTGCTATAAGAATAATTATTGATGAATATATCACTTACTATCCTATCTATGTATTGTCATCCAAAGGAATCCTGGATTTTTTTAGAACAATGAAATGGAAGGCAATTTGAAGTTTCTTTCCCATGTTCATCTAAATTACTAGAAAAGTATTTTTCTATTCCCAGGGTTTAGTTTGACAGCAATCTTCTAAATATCAGGAACTATAAAGAATTCATTTTTTTTCCCTCATCCCAGGAGCTTAGCTCCATGCCCAGTACTTAGTATACTTTAAATAAATATAAGTTGAAAGGATTTGTGAATGAAGCTACTCAATTCAGGTTGATGTTCTGCATTAATCTGAGAAGTAATGTAATTTTTTTCCTGGCATGCTGTAAAAGTAGAGACAAATTGACTTTGGAGTAGAAGAGATATCTGCACAGCTTTCCAACTCCATGTAATTGTGTCTTCATAATGTGATTTAATTGTCTTTAATGAAATGATGTGAGTGCTATGAATAACTGACATATTCTATAAAGAAAATTGTATAGACATACAATAGTTTTCCAAAAAAATGTTCACTATTTTTCTTATTTTATGTCATATTTTTATGTTTAAAAAAAACTTAAAATATTTGTCATTTTTTCCTATGGAATCTGTATAATCAATGTAAACATATCCTTTTCTTTTTTCTTTGGAAGTTCTACAATTCTTAATAAAATGATATTTATTTTTTTTTCCCTAAATACAATTATTTAACTTAGTCATAGGCTTCAAGCAGAAAATTCTTACAGGAGTTTTTTTTTTTTCTTTAAGGAAGAGGAGAAATTTGATCAGCTATAACAGCTTTAGTTGCAGGAACAGAAGGGTCAGTAAATTCTCATTGTGTTCAGCTGATAAAAATGATAGTTGGAAAAGGCAAATAGTGGCATCATCTCTGGAATGCCATAGTAAAAACAATATTTCACACTAAATGTGCCTTTTGTTACTCACACATTAAGATTTATTTTAGACAAATCTATGATTCAGTGTTTGGCTTTGCCACTTTCTATCTTTGTAACTGTGGGTAATCTCCCTGTGCCTCAGAGCCCTGAGTAAATTTGGCTTAGTAATACCTTTCCTCGAGCATTGTTACATGAACAAATTATAAAGTGACAATAGCTGGTAGATGTTTTGCTGTTGCTCTGACATTGATGATGGCCACAATAATGACTGTTAATTGAACTACCACCACAGGCCTTGAGCTAAGACCATGGGATTCAAGGAATAAAACAATCTTGGTGTTCAGAACCTCATATTCCAATGTTCCAATTATGCACAAGTTTCCATAATTGTGAAGAATACTATGATGTGAACTCATTAGGACTGAATTTCCTTCAGCTGGTCTGAAAAAGTCACTTTCTCTTTATATCAGACAAAGCAGAATAACATCCTGTCTGCCTTGTATTCAAAACTTAGATAAATAAACCGGAAGTACATCCTAAGAGAAGTTGCATTCCTTCATTCAATCACCAGGTATATATTATGTTCTATACTCTATTTTAAAGCCAGCAATCATACATGAGTTTTAATATTCCTTGAATTATAAGTGAGGCAGAATAGCATCATTTATAATGGCACCAGATATGAAGATAAGAATAAGGTCAACATTCCCAGATTAAAGTACATTACAATTGACAATAAGGAGGAATTTTAAAAGATAGGCAGCAGTATCTCAAAATTTCCAGCAATTTACTTTATTTTAAACTTTGCTCAAAAGTACACTTTATCTACAGTTGCTTAGCTATAGCTGATGCTTCATATATATCTGAGGACTTCTCAGTAGTCATGATACTCACTGACCTTTGTTGAACCTTGGTTGTATCCCAATCACTGTGTTAAACAATTTACATCACATTTAATTCTTAAGATAAACACTATTGGTCAAAAAAATTCACTTTTTCCTTATATCAGATGAAGCAGAGTAACACTCTGTCTGCCTTGAATTCAAAACTTAGATAAATATGTTTGGAGTGCATCCAAAGAGCAATTGACTATTGGTAAAAAAAATTTCCTCTAGGGAGTTTTAGGCAGGAAGCTATTAATTACATATTATTTAATGGCTCACATAATCCTGGGTAGGGTTAAAAGAAAGAGAGATTTTTGGCTGAGATTTTAGAAACCCCTTTCAGAATTATGCTTCAAAACTAAGTTTCTAAAGAACTAGTGTCTTATTTATGAGCAACAGGTGAATCATCACTCTGTTACTGCCATTATCAGTAAACTACCATGGTCAGGAAGCCATAATTACTTTGGCATAGGAAAAGTTTTTATCAAACAAGACACAAAAGGCTGTCTACATTATTGAATTATGTATTAACAAAGTAACACATTTTTGGTAATATACCTCTAAGTATATGGTTACCAAAGAAGAACCTCTTTTCTCTACAGCAAAGGATAGTGTGCTCATTAACTATTATTTCATAAAAACTACAGATATATGTTTCTTAAGCATATTCTCTGGTTTGGCTTTTCTGTGAGCTCCATAGTAGATGAACTACCCTTCAAGTTTGCAATAAAATCTAAAATGGAGCAAAATGTGAGTAGTCTAATAAAATTTGTTTCAAATTACATGGGAACATAGGCAAAAAATACTAATTTTATTTTCCTATCAAAGCAAGATAAGCATTAGTAGTAATTTATCTATATACTTAAATGTTAAAGGAAATCTCTGATAAACTCTTTGATTCCTTTAACAGTTAACTGTAGCTGCTGAGATAGATTTTTTCTTTGAGAATGTATTTCTCTTATGCATGTATGTATTGCAGATAACTTAAGCCATCAATGTCATTTGACTCACACACTTTAAACAATATCACTTTAATATCCTTTGTTATTTGCCATAAAAATATTCTGGGCCAATTCATGAATTACAGATGAAATTATGTGTTGGATAAGAAAGTCTACTTAAATCTGTTTTTGTAAATCTGTTTCTGTTATTATGTTTGTCGTTTCATATCTACCATATTTCTTTACATTTTCAGACTTTGTACTCAGACCAGGAGTTTCCATTGGCAAACCAATATGGAACATATTACAGGGGCTACTTACGTGACATCGCTTCATGAAGTCAAATCCAGAACTGTCACATTCAGATTAATAAATTCACACCCTTTCAAACTAATATTCTTTATTAAGTATGCTTTGTTAGAAATTTATTAATGATTTTTGTAGAGGGCTCATGTTATTTTGTATGCCACATTTCTTGTGAAAACTTCCAGTGAATGTTAACTCTTTTATTTATTTCTCTACTCTGCCTTCTATTGTCTTTGTCTTCTTTCCTTCGTTGCTCAGTGTTTTCTGTGTGGGTCTCCCTTTATTGTATCATTATAATCAGAATACACATTTAGTGTGTGATTTGTTCCACTGTAATTAACTCTCTGTAGTAGATTTCAGGGTGGTATGGTCTTGTTTTATTATAATATTACAGCAAAGTTAATAATTGTTATAATTATTATAATCGTAATATTATCATCTTGTTAAAACTGTAAGAACATTTCAAAAGTTCAAGGTTGGTACCTAAAAATAATGAATTCTATGATATACAGCTTTAGAATTCTATCTAATTATGTTATATGAATAAAACTTTTATAAGTAAATTCAACTGGACATGCATATATATACATATATATGTATGTGTATGTATGTATATACATATATATCTTAACTCCTACCTCACATCATACACAAAAAGCAAGTACAGATTAAGTAAATATTTTAGAAAAAAAAAATCAGAACGGGTAGGAAGCTGGGTACATGGAGAAGCAGCAGCATTGGAACGCTCTGGGTCTCGGAAGACCGGCCTCGGCCATGTGGCACCCTCGCGCCAGCCCCAGGACCGTCCGGAAAACTGGCCCCTGTGGCCCGGCGGGAAGAGGGGCAGTGGGCACGTGACCCCCTTCAGCCAATCTGGGTGCTGCTGTGGCCGCGAGCCCAGAGGCTTTCCTCACCCCACCGCCGGTGGGGAAGGGTGGGGCTGTGGGCTATGTCCTCTCTCCCAGCACAGCTCCATTTTCCATATGTGTGGGGGTTTGACACCCCGGGCCCTGTAGGAAGCTGAGGGCTACCTTGGAGCCGCCCTGGAAGGTTCCAGGATCCAGGTGAGAAGGGGCCCTCGGGGGGCAGGGATGTTGTCAGTCATTTAAGTGCTTAACCAATGGTGGGGAGTCCGTGAGGGGGATTCTTAGGGTTCAGAAAAGAATCCCGAGGGTGGGAGGATTTGTGCTTCAAACACTTTATGGCCAACGGGAGCATGCAGTGGGGCGAGCGGGAGAGGGCCTCCCTGAGGGGAGACGGGAATGGCTAACCTCACGCCTCCACATGAGTTGGAGGGCAAGGGGTGAGGGGCCGTGTGGGGCCCCCATTCCATTCATCCCCTGGGGGTACAGCAGCCCGAAGCCAGGTGAGGAGCGGTACTTTTGGCGGCTGCCAAGGGAGGGAGTGACTTGGTGGTGGGCAGAGGAGTGGGAGTGGTGGCTGGAGTTCCTCCTCGTGTACGTGAATGCCTTTAGAATTGGCAGTCCAGGTTGTTCAATCCAGATTGTTCTCAGGCGCCAAATCCCTTTCTCCTCAGAGACTCCCCTTCTGTGCTCCCCTTGTGTCAGCGGTAGGAAGCTCACAGTCATCACATGGCATGCTGGGGTTACGCTTTGAGTCGCTTATCGACTTTGTGTGGATACCGCCTGTGGAGCCTTCCCACAAACCTTAGTTGTCCCTGTAGGGTCTTACCTGAGCACGTGTCTCCTTCAGGCTTGGGGGTGGGGTGTTCGTTACAAGCTGAAAGCTTCGGGTTGTTTTAGGAACAGAAACTGACCCAAGGTGGGTGTTGGGTAGAAAGCGTCCCCTGAGATGGGCAGGAGTCTTGGGACCTGGAATGATTTCACAGCTCCCAAGGTTTCAGGTTTCTCCAGAGTGGCCTGTTCCATTGCTTCCTTCATCCCATCCTCCAGCGTGAACGCTTCTCTCCTTGTGTACTGCGGGGGAAGGAATGGAAAGAAGGCAAGAGTTAACTTTTCCAAATTACTGAGTAGCAGTAGTAGCGCCCCCTGTGACTCGTGTGGAGGAAAGGAGGATAGGCATGCGGGAGAAGTAATTTTCTGGAATGCAGAGAATAAACAAGAGTAATATCTTGTGCCGTAAAAAAAGAAAAAAAATCAGATAATGTTTGTGACTCTGCAGTAGAAATGATTTCTTAAATGGAACTAATGATAAAGAAAAATAGTAATTTGAAATGCCCTAAAAATAAGAATTTCCATCCTCGAAAGACATCATATGCAGAGTGAAAAGCAACTCACAGGGTGGGAGAGGATTTCACATTCAGTGTATCCAAAAAACCCCACAAAAAAACAAAAAAAAAACTTGTATACAAATAAATAAGGAACACTTAAAAATTAATAGCAAAAAATAAACTCAGTAGAAATATAAAGAGAACATTTGAACAGATACTTAATAAAGGAAAAATATTCCAAATATATATTGTCAGGAACTCTATGAAAAAGAGCTAATCTGCTAATCTGCATGGGTTGTCAGAAAATGTAAGTTAAGATCACAATGAGATACACTACAAACTCACTCACTGGCTAAAATGAAAACCAGACAATATGAATTATTGGGCAGGATGTGGAGCAACAAGAACTCTCATATAGTACAGAAAAATTGGCAATATCGACCAAAGTTGAACACATGCATATTTTAAGAACCACCTTTCCAAGAAGTGTTGCATAAGTTCATTAAAACTCATGTTTGAGAATATTTCTAGAATCTCTATTTGTGGGAAACACATACTCACATACAAATACATAAAAAGAAGACAAACAGATAACTTATAAAACAAACAAACAAAACAAAACTCTACTGAAATAACTAGCAAAAGTTAGAGCAATACATTGTAATTATAGGCATACAGTGAGATACAGCAATGAGAATAAATTAGCTATAATTACACATGATAATATGAGTGAGTTTCTGAAATATAATGTTGAGCTAATAAAACCTCACCCAAAAGAGTACACATTGTAAAATTCTCTTTATATTAAGTACAAAAAGAGGCTAAGTCATATATGGTGTTAGAATTCTGGATAATGGTTACTCTTTGTTGAGGAATATTTGAAGGTGGAAGGAGAAGGGATTCTGGTGTGTTGGCATACTTCCATTTCTTGATCTGGGTGCTGATTATCTAGGTGTGCTTAGTTTATGAAAACTCACCAAGCTCTATAATTATAACATCTGCAATTTTCTGTACACATTTTACATTTTTGTGAAAATATAAAGAACACAATTCTTCAAAACACATACAAAAATAAGAAGGCCCTTCTTCAAAATGTTGGACAATTTTGTTGTAAGATTAAACCTGTGTATGTTGCATGAACAAGAAGTAGCTAAGATAATTCACAAAAGCTCATGATGGAGCAAAATCATAATGTGTACATGAAATACTGTACCATGTAATGTGGAGGTACAAATTCAGCTATTGCTGTGTAACTGTAAGTTAGAAATATCCCTTAATAAATAGAAGAATATTTTTCTCATATTGAGAGAATGATGTGAGCTACTGCTCCCAGCTCAATAATATTCACTAGTAGCTGTTTGTCATTTTAGATTTTTAAAATAACTGGAAATAGTAACTTGAAAATGGATAGGTTGTTCTTGATGGAGTTATATGCACTGACAAGTTATATTCTATTTATTTTGCACTAGATAGTGATATTCAGTAGTGCTGTCAATTTAAGTTCTGTGTCGTAGGTATAACATGCTCCAGAACATTTGTGTGCCAGAACCAGTAAATCTCCTGTTTTTCTAAATTAAATTATATTTGGCTATACTATCACATTTACCAGAGTGTAGATATGTGCACTATCAGGCATTAGTATGGGCCCTTCCTCTTTTCAGGCTGTTTATTTGCAAAAAGCAGAAAGTTGCATATTCACGTACATATCAGTAGAAAAATAATTTATATGTAACATAAATGTTTTTATTACTCCAAGAGAGTAGAGAGCTCAATTACTAAATCTAGTGTGTATTTTGAGTTTGTCTTCTAACTTGATGTATATTAGCACTTAAAACATTTTATCACAAGATATGTAACTACCCTATTAATTATATTCTGAGGATTGATTTTCTTATTTTCTTAGATCTTGGATTATGTCTTCTCTATCTGTCTCATCTCTCTTTCTCTCTCTCTCTTTTTCATCCTTGTCCATTCAATATTGGGCTTCTCAAAGTTCCCTTCAGACCTTCTTTTTATCTCTCTTTTGTACTCTATCTGAAAGGAATTTATTTACCTCCATGATTTCAACAAATATCCATATGTTTATGTCTTCAGATGTGACAATTTATCTGAATTCTAATCTAGGCATTACTACTATCTAGTGATAATCATTACATCTGGTCTCTTACTGTTCTGTAGTCACCTTAGAATCAAAATGAATAAAATTGATTTCATTGTCCTGCCCAAAGTGTTCCTATTCCTGAAATATTTACCTGAAATTATCTTTTTTTCTTATAACTTATCACTAAACCATAAATTCTACTCATAAACCTTTTAACATATCTGGTCCCTTTCATCAAAATCTCTTTAACCCAATGGAAGCTTCCTTCACTTTTTTGCATAATGCACTGCAGTAATTTTTTCACACCTCTGTTCAAAGCAGAAAAAAGTAAGGAATAGTCATATCTGTTGTCTGTTTTTAGGGAAACAAAAGCTTTCCCAAAAAAGTGTCCAGCAGATTTTTGCTTAATTTGTATTCTCATGACTGGGAAATTAAATATGTCCTTTAATAGCAAAGGAGTTTAAGAAATTGTAGACTGCTGTTGGCTCAGTACAAACAGCATTTCTCTCCCAAACAAAATTTTAAGCAGAAAGAAAATAGGCATACAGAGTATTATAATGAGTAGTATAAGCAACTAGCAGTGTATGCTCCAAAAATCTGGAGCTTGGAAGTAGCCAGTCATGTCAGGCATCCCAGGCAGAGGGAATGTTAAGTACAAACAACTGAGGTGGGAAAGTCTTTCTTGTATCTGAGGAATAAAGATAGGCTATTACAGCCTGATAGAATTGAGAAGGATGGATGAAATAGATGATGGATTTGGAGATACCAAAGCTAAATTATAATGTCTACCTCCTGCATGGAATCTTCAGTTATTCAAGTTGAGGAACCAAATGTTATGCATTTCTCTATATTAAGCACCATGCATATTTCTAGGTTAATGGTAAGCCTCAAATTTTTTAGTGAACTAATTACAGGTAACACTATATAAACATATTAAAGTGCTCTGTGATTTCACTTTTTATAAATAGTTTAAACTATATTCACAGGAACTTATGTTAATAGGTTAAAATCATCTCATGACTGATAGCCATCTTCTTCAGCATAGATTTCTCTAGAGTTAATCATATCATTTTAAACTATAAAAGCCTAGTTTTAATTGTCATTTGCCTCAATTCCATGATTCCCCCTTTCATATGTTTTTTGTTTGTTTTGCAAGTAATGTGAAAAAATATATTTGTATATTGGTCTCAATTATCAAAATAATTTAATAAATTTTCTATTTATTTTTAATTGTAGCATTCTGATCATCTTTGACATTGCACAGCTGTGAAATTTTCACAAATAAATTCATTCAGTAGTATTTGATTTAAAAAATTACACTGATTTTTAAAATTGGGCACTGAAATTTGGATAAATGGACTATTTAACCAAAGTATAAAATTGACATACATGGTGTATAACCCTAATTTAGCTGGTATGCATTTTTTATCATATTCCACTTCAAAGAAATGATTGACCCTATTATTTTCAAAAGCAATATATTAAATTGCAACTAGTGCTGTACATCTCATTAGTTTGTACAGAGTTTTTTCTTTGCAGTTATTCTCTGGAGTTCTTTTTTTAAATAAAAAGCACAAGTTTCAATGAGGAAAATATTAGGAGTAATTTCCTTTTTAGTCATTATATAAATGACTGTTTTTGGAAAAGTTAATAATATGTTACAGCTTATTGAATTTAGTACAATACCATGTCTGTTCTAACAGTATTTATTTATTTATTTTTTGGAGACAAAGTCTCACTCTTTTCCTGGGCTAGGGTGCCATGGTGACAGC